GCTCGTCATCTTCTTAACTGAAAGTCAGATGATATCTGTCTCTGAGTGTCTGGTACAATTTTTTTCCTTTGCAGTCAGTTTAACCACAGAAAGTTTTCTCCTGGCAACAATGGCATATGATCGCTATGTAGCCATATGCAAGCCTTTACTTTACCCAGTGATTATGAACAATGCACTGTGCATCCGGCTAGTAGTCTTGTGTTTTGTAGGTGGCTTTCTTCATGCTGTAGTTCATGAAGGATTTTTGTTCAGATTAACCTTCTGTAATTCCAACATAATACATCACTTTTACTGTGACATTATGCCACTGTTGAAGATTTCTTGTACTGACTCTTCTATTAATTATCGACTGGTTTTTATTTTTGCAGGTTCTATTCAAGCATTAACTATTGGAACAGTTCTTATCTCTTATACATTTGTTCTCTTTACAATCTTAAAAAAGAAGTCTCTCAAAGGCATAAGGAAAGCCTTTTCCACCTGTGGAGCTCATCTCCTATCTGTGTCTTTATACTATGGCCCTCTCCTCTTTATGTATGTGCTTCCCGCATCTCCACAAGTTAGTGATCAAGATATGATAGACTCTCTGTTTTACACTGTTATAATTCCTTTTTTAAATCCCATTATCTATAGCCTGAGGAATAAGCAAGTCATAGACTCATTGAAAAAAGCATTAGGGGGAAAAGTTTAGATCTTGTGATAATTCTCTCATCTTTTTAATAAAATAGTCACAAAATTATGTAGGTCATATGTGGGTACAATTTTGTACATGTTGAAATTTTTTTTTGCAATTGCAATTGTTCTAGATTTTTAATGACTTAAAATGTTAGAATTTGATAAATTTAAAATATAAGTATTTATTCAAAATCATACATGAAATTTTAATCATATATTCCTTCATTCTAGAATATTTAGAGCACAAAAAAATGAAAATATTTTACTGGTTATATGCTTTCATGTGACTTTATAAATACATGAATTGATAAAATTTTGTTGCTCCTCAAAATAACTCAAGTAAGATAAATCATACAGTGAAGAGAGGTTTACAGGATGGATACTCACATCACATATACCCTAGGTTATGTTGCAGGTTTCTGTTTGAGTGAGCAGAGAAGAATTCCAGGAATTCTGTTATTAAGAAAATCACCTTGGCTCCTGAAATAGAGTGTTAAATATCAGAGAGAAGCTATTCAACCTTATCAATTAAAGAATGTTAAATTTATGTACTTAACACAAATACAATTATTCTTTGCTTGTGGATATCTAATACAGAAGATTGAACCCCACAATTTCCTACTTTTGGTCCTCTAAGAGATATTAGCACACCTAATGGAAGTGAGTACGTGGATAATAATCCAGCTGCCCTTATTCTTTCCCACTAGAGAATTAATATTATTGCATATTTCTTTAGTTTGTTCATTTTTATTATTGTGTGATATGTCTATTGTGCTAATGGTTGCTTGTTAATTATCTAGAGTTTTGATTATTCATTCACTGTTATGACCCAAGACTAGATTGATACTATAAGCATTCAGTGTCTCTTTATTCTGCCACTTTCAAGGTCTGTTTTTCTAACTGGCCTATTCCTTGAATAAGAAAGTAGATGTGAAGACACAAGTATATGGGACAGAGTATGTAAACTGTCAAGTCCTACTTTAGATTGGGTGCATGTGGAAAGGGAAGTTGGGAGCTTCTCAGAAACTCAGATGTCCTCTGTATTCCTCTCTTGTACATGTGTAGTTTATAGATACCTCTTCTCTGGTTTGTTTTTCCAGTATTATCACAAGTCCTCTATACTTTTCTGAATTTCAACAAAATTTCTAGTTTATCATTGTGATCTCATTATCACTTCTTTTATAGATTTATTCCCTGTAGTAAATAAGTTTTGACACATAAGATGGATGTTAGAAAAAGATAAAATAAATCTACACATTTTATGCAATCCCTATTAAGGCACAATTGTCATACTTTAAAGAGCTTGAAAAAAAGTGTTTCATTTTATATGGAATCATGAAAAAAACTCAAATAGCAAATACATCACTCAGAAATAAAAAAAAATCAGGAGGTATCACGTTACCAGAATTCAGACTATACTATAAATCTATAGTGATCAAAATGGCATGGTACTGGCAGAAAAACAGAGGTAGATTTATGGAACAGAATAGAGAACCAAGAAATGAACCCAGCTACTTATCATCATTTGATCTTTGACAAGCCTATCAAAAATATTCAGTGGGAGAAAGACTCCCTATTTAATAAATGGTGCTGGGTAAATTGGCTGGCAACTGTAGAAGACTGAAACTGGACTCCCACCTTTCACCATTAACAAAAATTGATTCTCTCTGGATTAAAGATTTAAACTTAAGACATGAAACTATAAAAATACTAGAAGAGAGTACAGGGAAAACAGTTGAAAAAACCAGCCTGGGAGAAAATTTATGAGGAGGGCCCCCCAGGCAATTGAAGCAATACCAATAATACATCACTAGGATATGATCAAACTAAAAAGCTTTTGCACTG